AGTAAAAAAGTAATGCGCATGCAGGCACCCTACTGTATTTTTCTATGTGCTGTTTTTTACATTATCAGTGAATTGTGCATGGTGTATGACCTTCCCTCTCACTGCTCTCCTGATGGCTGCTGACATGACACCTTATCATGAGGATTGACGGGGTCAATGGTGCTTTTTTTCAGGTCCATAAAACAAGAATTGACCTCACATGAAGTCTATAATAGCTATATTATATACTACTCCAAAGAGGTTAAAGAACACTAGATTGTTTCCAATAACTATAGTTAATCTGTCAAGGCTGGTGGGTACTGTGACACACAGCTTTCCAATTGCGGGTGCTCTTCAACTTGTTTTCAGGGGCATAGAACAAAGTAACAAAAAAAAAGATTCAACATATCAAATCATGTTAGCTACAATAACATTAGGGGGCTCCAACAACCTGGCAGAGATATCTGATTGGCTGAGGCTTGTAATTCCACTTCCAGGTAATGCCCATTCTATATTTTGTAACTCATCAAACCTGAGTCAATAAGCATACCTATCGAATGACGTGACCGCTTCTCGCCTAATGAATATGGTAGAAATCTTTGCATTATATAACAGTCTGTACCAAAATCTTTTGAGTCTACAAGACCGTACTTAGCTATACAAGCATGATTTTCTATAGATTTTGATGTTATTATTACTATTAGACTACTATTTGCTGAGTTTACAAGACCTAACAGAACTTTACTGGACTCGGGCTTCAGACAAGTGACCAAAGTTGCAAACTGATGTAAAAGTACCGATATAAGTTGGGATTCTGTGGTGAAATCACAACTTCACCATAACAAGACCTAGTTTGTGGACTACCAATAGGAGAATGAGCAGGTGAGAGGTGAAAGTACACCTAAGCATGTTAAGTCTCTGTTTTAGTCAGGTTTAAATTATCCACAAAACTGTTACCATGGTTACTGTTGTCATGAATACAATACATAACTTTAAGGGAACCAATAATAGGACTGCATGGTATTAAAGGTATACTGCAATATGCTTTTCAAACGATATACGTACTGCAATATTTTTTCTGGGTACTTGTAAATTGGGTAAAGAAAACAAAACAAGTTTTGTTAATTTTTGTATTGTTTAACCTGAGTGAATGAGTGAGAAGCGTTATATGCCGAAAAACACCAGAAACAGGCTTCACACATTGTACCCATGTCGGGTGTTTAACCTGAAATCTACACAGGAATTCATTTACAAATGATTTTTCCCATCGAAATTGATTGACAACATGGTGGAAACACAGAAGTGATTTCTCCAGCATGTTGTTATCTCCCCTGAATCCATGATAACAAAATGCTGGCAACAGGCCATCCAGTGAGTGAGTTTGTTTTTTACGGCACTGGCGGAGGGTCGGGGGAGGAGAGAGACAGAGGGTGCGGGACATCAGAAACAGGCTTCACACATTGTACCCAATCGAACCCGGGCCTTCAGTGTGACGAGCAAACGCTTAAACCACTGGGCTACCCCACCGCTCCACTATTACCAAGACATCCAGTACAGTTGAAAATTATTATTAAGATCATTATAAATCAGTATACAGCGGTAGAAACTAACATTTTTGGTCCACTAGTCCTAATAATAATAATATATAGCAAAACCCTTAAAAATGGCAATTTTCTACTAGTCCTGATGATACCTTAACTATTGGGCAGTTTGGCAAGGGCTATAGGACTAGTGCCAATTTCTAACCCTGTTTTACGTAATTTATAAGACAATTATGATCAATGACACGCACACTGAAAAAGCACCTGGCTTTAGCGGTATACCATTGGATTCCTTCATTGCTTTTGATTTAACTGTCGTAGGTGCTTATCGCCATGAATATATATATAAATAAAAGTAATTTAAATAGCCCAGATAATTGTGGTATCTGGAAATATGCACGCAAAAAAGAATATGTGACAGATTAATAGATTGGGCCATAACATATATAACTCCAGAGCCGGCTGTTTTTAGGAAAGATTTCCAAACAGTTGATAATATATTCATTACTGATACAGTTATCACAAAATATTCATCTCTGTAAAATGTAAGGCTTTCTTGTGCATTTGGAGATTCAGTCCCTGCTGTGTTCTGCAATCGTAGGATCTTTTGCATGTTTTGTGCAGAACGTGCAGAATTTTGCATTTTTCTGCTGCAGAATTCGTCAAAAACACTGCAGATACTTAACATAGAAGTTGAAAGATGGTTTTAAATTTGTAAAAGTGGCCTAGGTTTACTGACATGAGCAGTCATTATATGAATTGTGCACTGTATTAATTTAATAATTTCAAATAATTATGTGAGGTGTTTGTGTTACAAAAAGCAACAACAATTAACAAACAATCTTTTAACATTGTACGTTTTGAGCAATGGTTAAATGAAATCAATATCCTTTTTTTGACTTTCGTATTATTGATTACTAGCAGTGCATGCCTGTATGATTTCACTAGTGATCACCAGATTCACTTCAATAACCTGTCCAAGCTGTTGAGAAGTTTATCAGAAAAATGCCTGCAAAAAACAGGAGAAAACTAGGTATTCATGAAAACTAGGCATAAAAGTTTACAGAATTGTGTGCAGATATATAAAAGAAAATGACTGCAGAAGTTAGATATTTTGGGGGCGGAATACAGCGTGAACTGGAGATTTATAGATTGCTTTGATTCAGTTCCACAAAGTTATTTGCATATAACATTGTTCTTTTAGAAAGTACAGTAATTGATCTTCAAATTGCATAAGTTATACCAATATTGTGATAAGTGGCAACTTCAATGATAAAAGAAAGTGACAGCACTTTTTACAAAGCAAGGACATCTAATTCAAATAAAATATTTGATCTAAAAGATAACCTTATAGAAATTTACCAACTCAGTATTAGGGAGTTTATCTATCCAGATCATGGTACATCATGGTTCAGGGTTTCACCTTGACTTACGAAAGTTGGGGTCCTAGGGACCCGCAATAATTAATTTTAAGGGTCCTTGATAAAGTATTGGATCTGCTTGCTTTACCAAGAGAATAATGTTATTCTGAAGCAGGTATGTATGCAGTCGAACCTTATTGTGTCAAACTAACTGGGATCTGGAAAGAAGTTTCAAGATATCCTAGTTTGAGGCACCAAACAAAGTGACTTTCTGAAAACCAAACATCATGTTGTGAGAGATTATTACCAGGCCCAGATGCAACACTAGATTTCAAGGTGTATGTAAATTTCAACGCCCAGACGAGTGGGATGAGTGGAAGATATTCTTTTTTTTTTAACTGATGGAGTGATCAGGCGAATTTTAGGCATATTTTGGATACTTGGGACTCCAAAATGAGTTCAAACAACAGGGAATTCAACACATTCAGTTCAACAGATCCGAGTTTAAAGGATGAAAAATATAGGTGAGGTGAGGTGAAATTGGGTTTAACGTCACATCCAAGATTATTGCACTTAAATAGCGATGTGCATGCACGTGTGTGTGTGTGTGTGGCTGCTTGTACTAGTCCGGACTGATGCCGATTTATAGTGCTAGCTCACTGAGATACCATGCCGCAGTTTAACATGAATATCCCACTCAGACGCAGTATACTGGCTCTACCACTAGACAAGGTAGACACAATTTTATGGATAACAACTTCTTTAATACTGTAAAAATAGATCCTTATACCGTTGTCAAGCAAGACTGAATGAGGGACATTAGTACAGAATATATATAGTTGGTGGAGGATTAACAGTAACAACAATTGCATACATGAGTGGGATAACATCTATACCGAAACGTCGCTTTTTACAGTATTAAAGAAGTCGTTATACATCAAATTGTGTCTACTTTTTCATCCGTCAACTTCTAAGTAATGCCTATCAAACAATCTACCACTAAACCACGGAGGCGGTCAATGAAAACTATGGAAGGAAACTGTAAGGAGCAGATACTCTGTAATATGTACACACGATTCTGAGTCTCACTTTTGTTTGGAATGCCACTTCTATGCCCTCCATCCCAAAATATTATGATAATATTCCTACAGTACAGAAATTCTACCTCCTAAACGCAGAACTGTGGTCAACAACATTATTCAAAGTATGTGTAGCAATACATTTTGGGTGGAATAAGACAGAGAGAATATACTTGAAGTTTTTATACAAAAAATGCACCTCTATCGCAGTCTGACGGACTGTGAAGTCATATCATTTGAATCGCAATATGTGGTTGGTTGGTTGGTTTGTTGTTTTACGCCGCACTCAGCAATATTCCAGCTATATGACGGCGGTCTGTAAATAATCGAGCCTTGACCAGACAATCCAGTGATTGACATCATGAGCATCGATCCACGCAATTGGGATCGATGACATGTATCAACCAAGTCAGCGAGCCTGACCACCCGATCCCATTAGTCGCCTTTTACGACAAGCATAGTCGCCTTTTACGGCAAGCATGGGTTCCTGAAGACCTATTCTACCCCGGAATCTTCACGGGTCCGCAATATGTGGTGTGAGAGGTCATAATAGTGGTGTTCAGAATAGAACAAAACTTTCCAAGGCTAGCTTATTTAATTTAGGTGGCAACAATTTCTACTTACAAAGTATACATTAGGAGACTAAAGAATATTAAATGTGAAAAAAGGAGTAAGTACAGGGACGTACTTAGGTTAATGGCTATTTCAGGGGTTTCTTTAATTCAAATTGACCAACTTTTCACAACACTGGACACAACCGATGCCACACACTCAATATACTCGCTAACACCAAAGAGATTGCATTTAATTTGTCCTAGTACAATCGAGATTGACATACTGCATTTATGATGTGTATAGATTTATAATACCTTGCGATTCGAAACCTGTATGTTTTTCAAATTTGCAACCTTATGCTGACGAGTTTAGTTTCAAATAAAATTTACAGGTATCAAATCAAATTCAAAACCTATACATTGAAATCAAAGTAGTTTTATCTCCAAAGGAATCTCTGCATGAAGTTTAAAGTGATTCAGTCTTACTTCTCTTGGGTCTGTTGAAGGTGTCATGGAGGTTGAAAACAACTTTTTCAATGAAATGCTGAATCTTTGATCCGTCGGGACCTCGTACAAACACTGTCCAGTCATGTGTGAACCCCTCCGACGTTTGTTTTTTGCGGAAACTTGCTGTGTGGCCAAGTTCGATTGTTACCTGAACTTGGCTTTGTGACTGAAACACAGAGAGGCCATTTCTAGAGAACAGTATTCACAGGAATGTTCTGTAATTGTAATCTTAAATCTCTGCAAATTGAAACAAATTATGAAACAAAAGGACTGCATATAAGTATATAACTATATAAGCGATGACCTGTGCCATTTAATATGTTCATTTGGTATCTTATTTCAATACCCAAGTCAGGAGCTTAGGATTTACCATTGTACTGAATAGACTTCCAATTTGTACTCAGTATTGTCTCAGAAGGTCCGATGGGCTTTCAATGAAGGTTCGAGCCACTCAAAGGGCTTAAGTAAAGTCAACAAAGTAACTTAGTAATAAATGAAAATAGTGTGAGATACACAATAACAAATGACAGCAGAAATCATGTCCCGAAAGAATAATTCCGCCACTGAGGGGATTCCCCCAAAATTATTGCTACCAAATAACTGAAAAACAACCTTTTTAATAAACAAAACAGACACTAAAATAACCCACAATTTGTCAAACTGCTATAACAGTAATAATAATGATTTCATATTGATATATTTATATGAACCTCTTATCTGCATCTACAAATTATGCAAAGATCAAAATTAGTCACCATGGTCACGCATAAAAAACCTATATTGATTTATAATTCCTAGGATAAACAGATATATTTGTAACTCTTCAGATACTCAGATATATTTGTTTCTCTTCAGATATACAGATATATTGGTAACTCAATACACAGTTAATAAGTCATATTTACAATTGCGAATAAATGATATGCATTAATTTAAATTACCTTGAAATTACCATGTAATACAGACATACAAGCGTTAAGTACGAGTGGCATCAGGGTGTTATTTACCAAGATGAGAACAAATTGTGTGTGATAGCACTAGAGCTCCATTGGTAGAATGTTGGTTGGTACCAAGTGACCACTGCAACGAGCAAGCAATGCAGATTCAATCCCCTCAACAAAATGTGGAAGCTAAATGGAATGGGCAAAAGTGCACCCAGTATTGTTGAGAATTTTGGTGGTGGATGTTTCATTAATTGTGACATATTTCTGTGGATCAATTTATATTGAAAGTTCCAACAATGTCCAATCAAGGCCTAAACTGGAAACACAGACCTCTCCTCATCACTTAACTAAAATTATGCAGTGGTTTGTTTGGTGGAGCGGTTGGTTGGATAAGAAGTATATTGTGCAGGAGAAAGTGAAAAGAAAATGAAAGAGAAAACAATTCCACGTATATATCAAATACTAGCATCTCATGACTTGTTAGACTAATCACGAACATGAGTATTTGTTACGACGGAGTTGACACATGAACTGCATTGCCTCCTTGCCATTGACAGCTCATAAAATCAACTTTGGCGGAATTTAGTCACTTTATATTTTACGTATCGGTTAAAACTTGTAGCAAACTTACCAGTTGTGACATTTTATCCTGAAATATTTATATAAATAACCTGTGAAGGATTAAAACAATGAGTAGATTTGTAAACAATCATTTTTACAGATCAACCGGAAATATCCTGATAATGTGTACAAAATCTACGATCTGATATATCATGCGGACAGAAATCTAACATCAAGATTCATAAAGATTTGTGTCTTCCTTTCATTATATCTATAGCAATGCTTGTTGTTTTTATTCAATGTGTGCTAAAATAAGATTCATATTTTACTTACAAAGTAAATAAATAATTGATTGACTATTATTTCGTTCCATAACAGCAGTGCTATTTTCGTAACTAATTATTATCTCCCTTTCTAAGATGGCGGGAAATAGGACAAGTTCAAGCAACTGATCATTACATTTCGGTTATTATTTCGATAAATCCATCCTTTATAGGTGCGCCCAAAAGCACAATAAAGATAGTGACACTAGGTTCGATTGTGTAATTTCGTGCTATTGACAACATTCGTTTCGTCACTGGGCCCGCCCCAGTTTCGTCGAAACATTTTCAGCTGAGTCACAAGGTCTATTCAAGTGAGCTTGATATGAATGAGCATTTACGATCATGCTTATGCTCCCATCATCTCTCGTTTTGAGGAACTGTATGTTTTCCTGCGATTCATGTTTTTTGCATGGCTGTCAATGTCAGCTCGGGCATTGATTCAACTTGGCTCACACTCTGCAGAGATTGTTTCAATGTTTGGCCCATTCCTTTAACTAACACAATGTGACAGTCATTTTTAAATGGGGGAACAGTTGAATGATGAAATATAGGGAGTAAAGGGTGCTAACAATCACCGGAAAGGAGAGCCAAGGTCTAATGAGTGGGGCTTAGCCTTACCAAAACAACACTAACCCTAAGTGAGTGAGTTTGGTTTAATCCTGCTTTTAACATTATTCCAGTTATATCACGGCGTGTCAGCTTAATGTGGGAGGAAAGCCTGAAGTGATGCGGGTCTCAGATGTTTACCTCTTCGATGAAACCCACAAGCACGGGTATGGTGCTGACAAACCTAGAAACATAATCGGGCCGAACCGGGATTCGAACCCACAATCATAGTTTTCTGGCATGACCAAGGGACACAACTCTGCACAGCGAATTGAGCGCCTTAGACGACTGGGTCACCCATGCCCCCACTAACCCTAAGGATCCAAGAGGCACAGATGAGATCTGTGAAGCGGGAGCCACAGTCAGCAGCCTGAGCCAATTAGCAAGCTGCGCTCGCTAAACTGCATTGTTACCGAAATATCTATGACAGTCTCCTTCTCAGACATGGAATCTGAAACATCTGTGTCATGTACAGCAACACATAGGATTCACATATGTTCATGCCTGTTAAAAAATATTTGAAGTTTGGAAAATCTTAGAAAGCTCTTTTTATATAACTTGGCTGAGAGATCTGAAACAATGAAGATATGTAGGACTTGGTTTTGTTCATCTCATGGAATTCCTAATTTAGTTTATATTATTTAATTGAGAAATTATTCCATTCTTTAAAAAAATGATGTATCCAAACACCGATAAACAATGTTAACATATATACAAGTAGTGAGCCAAAGATATCAAATGTTTTTATGATATCTCAAAGCGGTGTTAAACCCAACTCACTTCTATAATGATCTCTCCTTCTTGTTATATTGGATGAATTACCAACACATAGAAATCTAAAAAATGTATGCGGTCACATTTATTTGATTTTATTAGACTTGACTTTGGACTACTCTGTTGTAGCAAGGTGACGGTAACTAGTTGCCATGGAAACTGACACTGATGAGCTAGAGGATGAGGAGGCTGGTGACTGGCTTGACACCAGGTGGTCTGCACCAGTTGATCCGTTTTCAGTGCCACACGGAATTGCAGCATGTCAGGAAGCTCTTTGCCATCCATCATCATCTCGGCCTGCACCAAGTGCACAGCAGCAGGACACAGCAGGTACGTCATTGTTTCGCTGTCAGTGTTGCATTAATTGTAATAACACTGCATGCTTGTTATAGAAAGGTGTGTGTGGTGATGCAGGAGGTATCAACATACATCTAACTGAAAAAAAGAGAAGAAATTAATGTAATGGTGATGGCTAATGTGATGGTTATTCATTCAGGTGTTTACTGCTTTGATGTCAGATGTTCAGGTGTCTACTATGATGGTGTTCTTGTGTCTTGTATTCCCTGCAGGTGTCTACTGTCATAGTGTGATATGATCAGGTGTCTGCTGTCATAGTGTCTTGTGTTCAGGTGTCTTGTGTTGCCTGCAGGTGTCAACTGTCATAGTGTCTTGTGTTCAGGTGTCTTGTGTTCCCTGCAGGTGTCAACTGTCATTGTCTGTTCAGGTGTCTTGTGTTCCTGCAGGTGTCAACTGTCATAGTGTGTTGTGTTCAGGTGTCTTGTGTTCCCTGCAGGTGTCTGCTGTCATAGTGTGTTGTGTTCAGGTGTCTTGTGTTCCCTTCAGGTGTCAACTGTCATAGTGTGTTCAGGTGTCTTGTGTTCCCTGCAGGTGTCTGCTGTCATAGTGTGTTGTGTTCAGGTGTCTTGTGTTCCCTTCAGGTGTCAACTGTCATAGTGTGTTGTGTTCAGGTGTCTTGTGTTCCCTGCAGGTGTCAACTGTCATAGTGTGTTGTGTTAGGTGTCTTGTGTTCAGGTGTCCTGTGTTCCCTGCAAGTGTCAACTGTCATAGTGTGTTGTGTTCAGGTGTCTTGTGTTCCCTTCAGGTGTCAACTGTCATAGTGTGTTGTGTTCAGGTGTCTTGTGTTCCCTGCAGGTGTCAACTGTCATAGTGTGTTGTGTTAGGTGTCTTGTGTTCAGGTGTCCTGTGTTCCCTGCAAGTGTCAACTGTCATAGTGTGTTGTGTTCAGGTGTCATGTGTTCCCTGCAGGTGTCAACTGTCATAGTGTGTTGTGTTCAGGTGTCTTGTGTTCAGGTGTCCTGTGTTCCCTGCAAGTGTCTACTGTCATAGTGTGTTGTGTTCAGGTGTCCTGTGTTCCCTGCAGGTGTCTGCTGTCATAGTGTGTTGTGTTCAGGTATCTTGTGTTCCCTGCAGGTGTCTACTGTCATAGTGTGGTGTGTTCAGGTGTCTTGTGTTCCCTTCAGGTGTCTACTGTCATAGTGTCTTGTGTTCAGGTGTCTTGTGTTCCCTGCAGGTGCAACTGTCATAGTGTGTTCAGGTGTCTTGTGTTCCCTGCAGGTGTCTACTGTCACAGTGTGTTGTGTTCAGGTGTCTTGTGTTCCCTGCAGGTGTCAACTGTTACAGTGACTTGTGTTCAGGTGTCTTGTGTTCCCTGCAGGTGTCTACTGTCATAGCGTGATGTGTTTAGGCGTCTTGTGTTCCCTGCAGGTGTCAACTGTCATAGTGTGTTCAGGTGTCTTGTGTTCCCTGCAGATGTCAACTGTCACAGTGTCTTGTGTTCAGGTGTCTTGTGTTCCCTGCAGGTGTCTACTGTCATAGCGTGATGTGTTTAGGCGTCTTGTGTTCCCTGCAGGTGTCAACTGTCATAGTGTGTTCAGGTGTCTTGTGTTCCCTGCAGGTGTCAACTGTCACAGTGTCTTGTGTTCAGGTGTCTTGTGTTCCCTGCAGGTGTCTACTGTCATAGCGTGATGTGTTTAGGCGTCTTGTGTTCCCTGCAGGTGTCAACTGTCATAGTGTGTTCAGGTGTCTTGTGTTCCCTGCAAGTGTCTTCTGTCATAGCGTGATGTGTTTAGGCGTCTTGTGTTCCCTGCAGGTGTCTACTGTCATAGTGTGTTCAGGCGTCTTGTGTTCCCTGCAGGTGTCAACTGTCATAGTGTGTTCAGGTGTCTTGTGTTCCCTGCAGGTGTCAACTGTCATAGTGTGTTCAGGTGTCTTGTGTTCCCTGCAGGTGTCTACTGTCATAGCGTGATGTGTTTAGGCGTCTTGTGTTCCCTGCAAGTGTCTACTGTCATAGTGTGTTCAGGTGTCTTGTGTTCCCTGCAGGTGTCAACTGTCATAGTGTGTTCAGGTGTCTTGTGTTCCCTGCAGGTGTCTACTGTCACAGTGTGTTGTGTTCAGGTGTCTTGTGTTCCCTGCAGGTGTCAACTGTCATAGTGTGTTCAGGTGTCTTGTGTTCCCTGCAGGTGTCTACTGTCATAGCGTGTTGTGTTCAGGTGTCTTGTGTTCCCTGCAGGTGTGCTCCCAGTTGTGTCAGGTGTCTTGTGTTCCCTGCAGGTGTCTGCTGTCATAGCGTGATGTGTTTAGGCGTCTTGTGTTCCCTGCAGGTGTCAACTGTCATAGCGTGTTGTGTTCAGGTGTCTTGTGTTCCCTGCAGGTGTGCCCCCAGTTGTGTCAGGTGTTCAGGGTGGTGGGCAGATGCTGACGAGGATGCTGCTGAATGACAACAAGGCTGGCATGGATGGACTGGACAAGGAGAAAATCAACCAGATCATTTATCAGGCCAGCAAAGGTGATTTCATCAACCAAGTAGAGACTTACTTTCACACTCAAGTGATTTCATCTTCTTAGCAAAGTGTGTTATCCACATGTGCAGGTTGTGAGTCTGGATAACAACAAGTTGCCTGCCAAATCTCACACATTTGACTTGAGACTCACATATTTCACTTGAGGTTCAAACATTTGACTTGAGACGCACACATTTGACTTCTGACCAACACATTTGACTTGAGGTACACACATTTGACTTGTGTCTCACACATTTGACTTGAGGTACACACATTTGACTTGTGTCTCACACATTTGAGGTACACACATTTGACTTGAGTCTCACACATTTGACTTGAGGTACACACATTTGACTGAGTCACACACATTTGACTTGAGGTACACACATTTGACTTGTTTTTCATGTTTTCTGTTTTCAGTTTGTACCGTAGCCAATGATCTGATTATGTTTGTGACATAAATTCACTAATAGCAAGCTAGCCAATGCAGTCCTAATGTACTGTGTGCAAGAAGTAAAATACTCGCCTTGTGTTGCTTGGCAACGTATTGTATGTACCTGGTGCAAGAAGTAAAACACTAGCCCATCTATCTAGTTGAAAATTTAATCACATTTGACATTAAGTGTAGATTTAATTTACAACTGAAATGTGTTGCGAATTGTGTCAACGCTACCTGGTTTTCATTTTCTTTGTGTCTGAATGATTCATCATGGGCAGCAGAACAATCATTCGATTGATGAATTCCCCTACCAAAATGGCAGTCACTGTATGTAAGCATTTTGTTGCTAGGCTAATGGTTTAATTTTTTTTTTTAAATGATTTACAATGTCTCAATTGAAGATATTTAGTTTCTGGATAAAAACTAATAACTTAAAAGACAACATAGAATACAAGATCACAGTTACAACAAACATTGACAAGAGAGGATGATTTAATCCAAATTGGCGTCTGAATTTCAGTGGCTAATTACCAACTCAAAGAACATGTCCATTTATCCCTAGTACATAAACTTAAACCTGAATTATGTATTTACAGATACAGGCCCACATGGCCATCTTTAAGGCTTGATAATTATATTAATCAATGTAATAGAAATGAATAAAGTATTGCCGAGTATGTCAAAGTTGGCCTCCAAGTGGCTACTCAAATCAAAGGTGTCATAATCCTTGCCAATCAACAAACAGCAGGTTTCATATTTTCAACGGTGTCTAGCCGGGAGCGCCACATTTCAGAAATGGCTATTGCCGGTAGGGCCACATTTCCAGCTGAGTGCATTTCACCTATTCTAGCGGGTAATTAATTAATCCGATTACCGATACCTTTAAATGAGTGTCCCACATTTAAATTACTAAGCGTGGTGTTCTTTAGAGATACCTTTAAATGAGTATCTCACATTTAAATTACGAAGCGTGGTGTTCTTTAGAGATACCTTTAAATGAGTATCTCACATTTAAATTACGAAACGTGGTGTTCTTTAGAGATACCTTTAAATGAGTATCTCACATTTAAATTACGAAGCGTGGTGTTCTTTAGAGATACCTTTAAATGAGTATCTCACATTTAAATTACTAAGAGATCAAAGGCCGTCTTAATTGACATTGAGTTCATCCTGTTATTCATAACATATTTAAGTGATGTCGTGTTCACGTAATCCAAAACAGGAAAAAGGGCACAGCCCCAGGATTAGACCTAACTTCTTACCAAATAATTAAAAAACTCCCCCTAAAACTACTCCAGGCACTACTCAAACTATACAATCTCATCTACCTAAACGGACAGGTTCCTACTCCCTGGAAACAGGCCCTAGTCATACCAATCCCTAAACCTAATAAACCAGCTAATCAAGCTAACTCATATAGACCAATATCCCTAACTTCAAACTTATGTAAAGTAATGGAATCAATGGCTAAAAATAGATTACAACATTACTTAACCCAAAATAACATCATAAACCCAGATCAAAGCAGTTTCACTCCTGGCCGCTCAACCCTAGATAAGCTCGCCCGACTAGAACAAGATATTAAGACAGGACAACTAAATAAACAATATACCACAGGCATCTTCTTAGACTTCTCTAAAGCTTTCGACATGGTATGGCACGATGGGCTAATACAAAAACTTAAAAAAATAGGACTCAAAGGTCAGATAATAAACAAGACTTGTTTTGTTATATACGGTAACCTGTTAGAATCACAAAGCATGTTTTGACAGCATAGCCGTGAGAGCCACATTATACAATCACGCAACCATAACCATTGCCGGGAGCGCCACATTGATTTGGGCTATCTATTTTCGAAATGTGGCTTTGCCGGCCTGTAACCTTTTCAACAATTGGCATTTATAAAATTCCTTTCGATATAGAACAATTGTAGGGCAAACAATTACACTCCTAATGAACCTGATCATTGTCGCTGTAATTCAGGTTCCAAATATTTTGAGAATGAAAAGAAGAAGGAGGAGCAGGTTCAACAGAGGATCGAGGAACAGAGAGTGAAGCAGTCAAAGATAACCGAGAGCCAGCTGAAGCAGGGACTGGAAGAGGTGAAATGACACTGTAGACAGGTTAACACTGCCCACCCCCATTAACACATACTTTAGTTGGACAGAATAGCTTCCTGGTGTTGTTCTTGCTTATAAGAACAGGCTACTGTAATGTTATTTACAACGAACCAACAACTGTTTACATGGTTACAGGCAAATCGGCTGTTGGAGGAGCTGGAGATGTCACGTGATCTGAGTCACATCATCGTCCACATCGACATGGATGCCTACTATGCAGCAGTGGAGATGAGAGACGACCCCTCTCTCAGAGACAAGCCTATGGCTGTTGGAGGGAGCTCAATGCTGGTGAGTCTGTGATCACATGTCGTGGTGCTGGGTGAATCATGGATCACTTCGGCCATGCTGGTGCATTAGTCATGAATCACATAATGTTGAGTGAGTCACACGTCACATATGTTGCTGGTGAGTGTGTCACACATCTCATGTTGCTGGTAAGTGTCATACGTCACATATGTTGCTGGTGAGTGTGTCACACGTCACATGTTGCTGGTGAGTGTCAAACATCACATGTTGCTGGTGAGTGTCACACGTCACATGTTGCTTGTGGGTGCGTAACATGTTGCTGGTGAGTGAGTCACATGTCACATGTCACATGTTGCTGGTGAGTGTGTCGCATGTCACATGTTGCTGGTGAGTGTGTCAAGACCATGTTGTGTCAGTTGATACTCACACCCCCTCTGTTTCAGTCCACCTCAAACTACGAGGCCCGCAAGTATGGAGTGAGAGCAGCCATGCCCGGGTTCATTGCCAAGAAGCTGTGTCCACACCTCGTCCTGGTCAAGCCCAACTTTGACAAGTACACAGCTGTCAGCAAACAGGTGAGGGAGATCCTAGCTGATTATGATCCCAACTTTTCTCCTATGAGCCTTGATGAAGCTTACCTTGATATCACAGAACATTTGAAACGGAGAGCAAACTTCACCGACTTGGAGCGATCCTACCTGGTCAGATCATGTGATGAAGTGGGGTCTGCCTGGTGTGGATGTGACCTGAATGAAACCTTAAGGGACAGAGTTGTAGGGGTCTCCCAGCCCAAACAAGTTGACCATGATGGTGATAAGCAGGTGCAAGATGACCAGTCAAACAAGCACCTGCTAGGTGACCAGTCAAACAAGCACCTGCAAGGTGACCATTCAAACAAGCACCTGCAAAGTGACCAGTCAAACAAGCACCTGCAAAGTGACCAGTCAAACAAGCACCTGCAAGGTGACCAGTCAAACAAGCACCTGCAAGGTGACCAGTCAAACAAGCACTTACAGGGTGATGATACTGATGGTGAAGACAGGTGTCTGATGTGTGGCAAGGTGTTGCCCCAATATGGTGTCGAGGTGTTCGGCCGGACTGTGGAGGAAGCAGTGAAGGAGATGAGGTGTCGCATCCAGCAGAGGACTCGCCTCACAGCAAGTGCAGGTAACAGCAATGAGAGTGAACTTAAAACTTGTACACAGCATTTTGCAGCTCTTTCCTACAGTCGGTGTATGGCTTATTTGTCAGTGAAACAATAATTACAATGAACAAGTCAAGGATACTCTAGTATGTGAATAGTATCAACTTGCAAACTTGACTTTTAAGTGACATTTAGAAGCTGTTGTATTAATTAAGACTGCATGTAGTATTTTTTCCTTATTTCCCAGGTATCACAGCTTTAGAAATTGGCCCTAGCCAAACTGCCCAATAGTAAAGGTATCATATATTATAAAAGGACCAGTAGATATTTATGGGTTTTGCTATATGTTATCATTATATGGATTAGTGGACTAAAACAATTAGTTTCTGCCACTGTTATCATGCTGTATTGTAGTCTGATTGTTGTCACAAGTGTTGGGGCGGTCGGGTAGCCTAGTGGTTAAAGCCTTCAAACAAAAGGGCTTCAGGTATGGATCCCATACAGCAGAACATAAAAAACCCTACATTGTTGGTCACAAGCAAAGCCAGGCACCAGTTTGTACTAGACAAGCTCTGTTACTGCTCCTGTCTCATCCGGGGCGGTCGGGTAGCCTAGTGGTTAAGGCGTTCGCTCGTCACGCCGAAGACCCAGGTTCGATTCCCGACATGGGTACAATGTGTGAAGCCCATTTCTGGTGTCCCCCGCCGTGATATTGCTGGAATATTGCTAAAGGCGGCGTAAAATCAAACTCACTCACTCATAAGTATTGTGGTGTATTGTAGTCTCCATTGTTTGATTGTTGTCACAAGTATTGTGATGTATTGTAGTGTCCATTGTTTGATTGTTGTCACAAGTATTGTGGTGTATTGTGGTGTCCATTGTTTGATTGTCGTCACAAGTATTGTGGTGTATTGTAGTCTTCATTGTTTGATTGTTGTCACAAGTATTGTGGTGTATTGTAGTCTCCATTGTTTGATTGTTGTCACAAGTATTGTGGTGTATTGTAGTGTCCATTGTTTGATTGTTGTCACAAGTATTGTGGTGTATTGTAGTGTCCATTGTTTGATTGTCGTCACAAGTATTGTGGTGTATTGTAGTCTTCATTGTTTGATTGTTGTCACAAGTATTGTGGTGTATTGTAGTCTCCATTGTTTGATTGTTGTCACAAGTATTGTGGTGTATTGTAGTGTTCATTGTTTGATTGTCGTCACAAGTATTGTGGTGTATTGTAGTGTCCATTGTTTGATTGTTGTCACAAGTATTGTGGTGTATTGTAGTGTCCATTGTTTGATTGTCGTCACAAGTATTGTGGTGTATTGTAGTCTTCATTGTTTGATTGTTGTCACAAGTATTGTGGTGTATTGTAGTGTCCATTGTTTGATTGTTGTCACACGTATTGTGGTGTATTGTAGTCTTCATTGTTTGATTGTTGTCACAAGTATTGTGGTGTATTGTTGTCTCCATTGTTTGATTGTTGTCACAAGTATTGTGGTGTATTGTAGTCTCCATTATTTGATTGTCGTTCCAGGTATCGCACCTAACACTATGCTGGCCAAGGTGTGCTCTGACCGGAACAAACCTAACGGTCAATTCCGCATCCTCCCCAACAGACAGGAAGTGATGGACTTCATCAGAGCTCTGCCCATCAGGAAGGTAGGCATGGTAAAACAATAGTGACAGTGAGACAGAAATCGGTTCTTGTATTAAAGTGTTATTTAATAGAATACATTTCCCACAGTCATCCCCATGGCATTCCAAACTTTCACTCCACACTGTTCCAAATGTTATCAATCTCATTAAAATCAGACCTCAGATGTCTCCTGAGGACATCCCATTAGGGGTCACGTCAGAACGACCTTTCATTCGACCAATCAGAGCATCGCTTTCCAGATTATGAAAGTGACAGTCGGAATGTGATTTCTGACCATGCAACCTCGAAAACTTTAACTCCGAACGACAGTAACGGGTTTAACGACTGAATCCATACAATCTAAACCATCTATTAGCCATTCCAGAATGCTCTTTTGTTCAGGTTTCAAATTTGTAATCGAGAATTTGTCAAAATATGTTTTGAAGCGTAGTCGCCAATTTGAAATTAGTGCCATAAAGCACGAGAAAGCTGCCTTCTGATTGGTCATTCCATTGGTCGGTCAAAGTTCGCGCAAGGTCGGTCTGACATGACCCGTATTGGGATGTCCTCAGATCTTTGTTTAGCGGTAGTGAGAACTAATATCTGATTTCAATGAGATTGCAAATGTTATGTGCGGCAGATATCTGGAATTGGTAAAGTGTCCGAGACGATGCTACGATCACTGGGTGTGGTCAACTGCCAGGATCTGTTTGAGAAGCGCGGCCTCCTGTTCCACCTGTACTCCACTGTGGCCTTCAACCACTTCATGCACATCTGCCTCGCCATTGGCGCCACCACTGTAGAGAGGTCGGTACCATCTGTGGGGAAATAGACCCGGGTTAAAATAGGTCCCCAGCTTTTCGGATGCTTTTTGTAAGACGTGACTAAGGGGCTTGCTTTTCATTTTAAAGGGTATGTGTGACCGGTGAGATTGATATACAACCCCTACCCCTGCCTATATTAAATTACCAGTCCCTAATAATGTGAAACTTTCTAACATTTATATTTGAAAAAATTAGAACTGCTTCATTTTTTCATACTCAACCTGCAAAGTGGTAAACATCCAAGACCTGCATCACTTCAGGCCTTCCTCCCGCATTAAGCTGACATGCCATGGTAAAACAGAAATACCATTCAAAGCGTCTTTAAGCCCAACTCACTGCATAGTGGATTGGGAGGCCTGTCACTCACTGATTGTTATCATTGTTATAATGTGTGTCATTCTTCCAGGTGTGACAGTGTACCCATCCACTGTTATATATAGCTGTAGATGTAATGAAGCCCTTGTTTTCAAGGTATGTTTGTTACTAACTTCATCTTGTATTTTCAGAGACAGTGAGCGGAAGAGCATAAGTACAGAAAGGTAAGATTGTCTATCATGTCTATGGACATTTTATCAAATTTAAAATTACCAAGCAGATTCAGTAACTTGTCTGATTGCTTGCCATCATGCCTCGATGGCATGTGCTGTTGCTCACTTTTCAATCTGAGGTTTGCATGATGTAGACTTGGTTCTGTGCCAATCTCATAAAATCAGATCTTTACTCCGTTACGATATCACTTTGTGTGAAAACCTGAGGACATCTCCTTTGGCAGTTACATACCACTGTGTTCCGAAATGATGGGATGTATGAAATATCCACAACACTACACTATGCGCTGATACTTTCTACTTTTTGATATGCTGGTTTGATACTGAGAATTTAGAAACCTCAATGCTGATTGGCTGATTAGAAAGTTCTCCTGACACAGGGAGAGATATCACATCAGAGGCTGCAGTGATACAGCTGGGCTATTGTTGACTGTGATATTAAACTAGAAAAACAACCTCAAAGCCAAAGGCCATTGTACTGTGGATCAGGAGGCCACAATAGTAGCTGAGTATGCAGAATCTGCAAAGGATATTGCTGCTTGGTTATTGTAATGTTGTTGGGATATTGTTGTGATGTTGCTGTAATGCTTCTGTGATATTGTTGTGATGTTGCTGTGATATTGCTGTGATGTTGCTGGTGTGTTTCTGTGATATTGCATGTGTGTTGTTGTGATGATGCTGGGATGTTGCTGGGATATTGCTGGTGTGTAAGTGTAATGCTGCTGTTATATTGTTGTGATGTTGCTGGGACATTGCTGGTGTGTTAGTGTAATGCTGCTGTGATATTGTTGTGATGTTGCTATGATATTGCTGGTGTGTTGCTAGGATATTGCTGGGATAGTGCTGGTGTGTTGCTAGGATATTGCTGTGATGCTGCTAAGATATTGCTGTGATGTTGCTGGTGTGTTGCTAGGATATTGCTGTAATGTTGCTGGGATATTGCTTGTGTGTTGCTGCAATGCTACTGTGATATTGTTGTGTTGTTGCTTGGATATTGCTGTGGTGTTGCTGGTGTGTTTCTGTGATATTGCTGGTGTGTTGTTGTGATGTTGCTGTGATATTGTTGCAATGATGCTGTGATAATGCTGTGATATTGCTGGTGTGTTGCTGTGATGTTTCTAGGATATTGCTGTGATTTTGCTGTGATATAGCTGGTGTGTTGCTAGGATATTGCTGTGATCCTGCTGTGATGTTGCTGGGATATTGCTGATGTGTTGCTGTGATGCTGCTAAGATATTGCTGTGAGGTTGCTTGGATATTGCTGGTGTGTTGCTAGGATATTGCTGTAATGCTGCTGTGATATTGTTGTGATGTTGCTGTGATAGTGCTGGTGTGCTGCTGTGATATTGTTGTGATTTTTCTGGGATATTGCTGGAGTGTTGCTGTGATATTGCTGTAATGCTGCTGGGAATTCTCCCATTCCTGACATGTTGTATCTCCTTCAAGGACCTTCAATGAACTGAGTCGGCCTGGTGACCTGTACAAGAAGTGTTCTGAGCTGTGTGCTGCCCTGGTGGAGGACCTGGGGCAGCAGGAAGTCAGGGTAGATAACTCCACACTTCTGATCTTATGCTTAACCGTTCATTATAAAAACACTGCATGCATCTGTTCCGACATTTGCAGATCAAAATTACTTTGAAACTAATTCTTGTATATACACAAAAATGTGACAGATTGTTCCTGACTTCAGGGTAAGACCGTGAGCATTAAGATCAAGACGGTGAAGTTCGAGGTGAAGACCCGGGCTCACAGTCTGCCAAACCACACAGCCGAGTACCAGGACATCTTCACCGCAGCCAGGGAGCTGCTTAGGGTGGAGATTCAGGCCGTTCAGCCCCAGGCTCTCCGGCTCCGGCTCATGGGTATGTCACATGAAGACAGATAAAATATCACTCGATCACTCACTCACTCACTCACTCACTCACTCACTCACTCACTCACTCACTCACTCACTCACTCACTCACTCACTCACTCACTCACTCACTCACTCACTCACTCACTCACTCACTCACTCACTCACTCAGAGGGTGCAATAATTGTGAATATGACATTAAACGAAATTTCACCTCACATCACCCCACTCAAACATTCAGCTTGTTACTGTTGACCTGCCTTGATTGATTTTGTCATGATTTGCACTTAATAAAGCATATTCTGACTCTTTCTGAATTCTGATCCCAGGTGTGAGACTGTCCAACCTCCTCCATCTCAGTCTGTGCGAGACGAAACGTCAAGACACGATCACAGGACTCTTCAAGAAGATGGCAGCAAGGAGCCCACAGAAGACTCTGACATCGGGTTCTGTCCGCCATCTTGACTCTAGACAAATGGACCTTCCTCAACTGCCCGTTTATTTCAGCGATGTGTGTGATGATACTGGGGACCAGGCCTCTGACGCACAGAGTAAAGATGGTGCAACCATTGCAGGAACTGACGCTACAAACATTGAGACAGATTGTCTTGAAACAAAAGGTGTCTCTGAGCTTGCTGCAGTAACAGGAAGTCCTAAACCTGTTAAAGGACGTTCTAGAAATACCAGAAAGAAAACAAAGTCTAAAACACACCCAAGGTTAGTCGCACTGGTAGATCTGGCTGTGACAGACATCGGCAGGAAAACGTCCTTGGCTGAAGTGAACAATAATACATTCAGTGATGCCCAGAGTCATGACTCTGATCCACAAGGACCTGGGAGAGGGAAAGCATCAGGACAGAAGGGCAAGAGGAAAAGACAAACTGATCTGGACATCCACAAGGGTCCAGCTGAACAGAGCGGAGAATCTTCCGGGTATGAGAGTGCCAGACAGGCAGAGCACTGGCCACCTACAGGACTTCAGCCAGTCTGTGTGGACGTGGTGGAACATGATAAGAGTCCCCAGGGAGGTTCTTGTGATGTTCCATCGCTTGCTGGATCTAACAGAAGTGATCCATCTGCTGGAAGTTCGTGTGAGGATATTCAGAATCTGAAGGTTTTCCAGTGTCCAGTATGTCAGCAAGTGGTTGAGTGTAGGAACCTTAATTACTTCAACGATCATGTTGACATCTGCCTCTTCAGACAAATCTCATCTCAAGAACAGGACCATCATGAGAATGTTGTCACTGCAACGGAGGTTGATCATGATAAGGATGATGATGAGGAGGACCTAGTTGATGTAGCCAGATCGTCAGAGAGGGATCACATGTCAACAAAACATGTAATTCAAAGTGTTCCAGAAATTGAAACAAACAGTAATGATTATGCAAAGGTAGTTGATTCTTCCGAGTCTCCTCAGCAAGATAATTCCAAAACCACAGCAACTGCTGGTAGGATTTCAACCCACCCGGGAGATAAGTCTGCTGTCTGGCAGCACTCCACACTGATTGATGGGACTGACCCAGGTGGCTCCTGTGTACCAACTGATGGGGCTGATCCTGAAACTGACCAAGGTGAGCTGAATGCTTTACAGTATTCTGGTGCTGATTCAGTAGCTGCCGGCCAGATTGCTAGTGAGCTGCAGGCTGAGTTCTATGCCTGTCCTATCTGTAATGTGGAGAAGATTGGTTGTAGTCTGGAGGACTTCAATGAACATGTGGACTCCTGTTTGAGCAGACGGGCAATCAAGCAGATCCTGGAGGAACAGAAGATGCATGACTCTCCAACAGGAAAGAGGTAAATAGTCCTGTTGTGCCCAGTGCATGTCTCGGTACAGATTATTCTGTACATAAAAGTCTCGGGTAATGTGTATGAAAATGACACAATTAATGACAACAAACATGTTTGAGCTAGCTCAGTTTTGAACATGAGCTGTTAAATATTTTGATAATTGAAATATCAAAACCCCTAAGCCACATTTAAAAAAAATCATGCACCTGTAGCTGAGTTTGTTTATTTGTTGTGTTGACAACTCATGGCATTCCTTGTAATTCATCCCAAAGTAATCTATGCTGGGTCAGGCTGGGTGACTGGGTTAATTGCATACCATCATACCCCTGGCATGGGACATGTCTCTATCAGTTGTTGTATCAACCAATGGTTCCTCTATCAGTTGCTGTATCAACCAATGGTTCCTCTATCAGTTGTTGTATCAACCAATGGTTCCTCTATCAGTTGCTGTATCAACCAATGGTTCCTCTATCAGTTGTTGTATCAACCAATGCTTTCTCTATCAGTTGCTGTATCAACCAATGCTTTCTCTATCAGTTGCTGTATCAACCAATGGTTCCTCTATCAGTTGCTGTGTATAACCAATGCTTTCTCTATCAGTTGCTGTATCAACCAATGCTTTCTCTATCAGTTGTTATATCAACCAATGGTTTCTTTATCAGTTGCTGTATCAACCAATGGTTTCTCTATCAGTTGCTGTGTATAACCAATGGTTTCTCTATCAGTTGCTGTGTATAACCAATGATTTCTCTATCAGTTGCTGTGTATAACCAATGGTATCTCTATCAGTTGTTGTGTATAACCAATGGTTTCTCTATCAGTTGTTGTATATAACCAATGGTTTCTCTATCAGTTGCTGTGTTTAACCAATGGTTTCTCTATCAGTTGTTGTATATAACCAATGGTTTCTCTATCAGTTGCTGTGTATAACCAATGGTTTCTCTATCAGTTGCTGTGTATAACCAATGGTTTCTCTATCCCTGGCTTGATTATTTACAATCAGCTTCCATGATCTTGCTGGAATTTTGCTGACTGTGCCGTAAAACAACAAATAAAAACAATTTGGACATGCTCCTTAATATTCTGAAATGGCCATATATGTTCATGTTTTCACATCAGTTCAAGTTCTTGGACATTGACCGATTGTCATCTAAAATATCCCAACACTGCTTTTCTTCAAATGTGTTAATGGTATAAAAGAATGTCCTGATACCATTGCTCATTTGTCCATGAAGATCGGGGCTAGAATTGGCCTTCAGCAACCCATGCTGACTTGGTTGAATGCATGTCATTGTACCACAATTGCGTAGATCGATGCTCTAGTCCAGACTTAATTATTTACAGACTGCCATCATATGGCTGTAATATTGCTGAGTGTGGCGTTTAACAACAACCAAACACATGTCTCAAGAAAAATGACTAATGTGTTCATGTGCTTCCTTCCCTAGATCATTGTCGTCCTCCTCTTCCATCGGTCCATCGCAGACTCCACCAGCGAAGAAGAGGCGGTCTACCTGTGGGAAGATGAAAACCATTGACTCCTTCTTCAAGCCTTGAACACATCTCCTGAGGCCATGAATAACCACCAACTATTTCAAACCTTGGAGGGGGTCACTGGTGGCCCACGGGGCCCTGGTGGCCAAAGTGTCTAAGGCACTGCTAATTGTCTTGCAGAGTTGCATACCTTAGTTTGCCAGGATCTGATAGTCACGTGTTGAAATCCATTCTGATGATTATCTTGGTTTGTCAACCTGACACACCATGCAATAGCTTAGCAAAATGCTCAAAGCGCTGTTAACACCGACCTGCTCACTTAAATGTGCCAGACTTAAACTTCATGTAAATGGAGATTAATGTTGATTCTTTATTAATTGTTTTCTGTGGATATATTTTTCTTTTATATGCCTACAAAATAATTGTAATGACTGTCTTTCAACACATGGATGAAGAATGTTTGAATAAACATTTATAATAATTCAATTGTATTGTTTTTAAATGTATATGGCAGCAAGAGGTACCTGGAGGTTGGCCTCTTGTTCAACTAAGTACAAGCCAGAGGAGGCAGTGTCTGCACTCATACAGCTGGGTACAGGTCGGGTGGTGCAGTGTATGTAGGCCAGTGATACAGTTGGTTGTATGCCAGGTGAAGAGATCGCAAGGAAGCATTCGTAAAATCTCAAACATTTTCACCTGAATCTCGGATTGTACCTTCTTTGACATCCTTATAACACAGGGTACAAGGTATGGATACCTGGCGTCATGTCGGCGAGGTACAGATAGTTTTTCTACCTGTGTGCGATACCATATCAAGTATAACACGCATCATTAATAAAATATTGTTTCTAGCACAACAATGAGCTGAGTTTCCAGCTCAGACATAAATGATGTTTGTTTGTTTAACGCAATGCAGCGGTAGAAACTAACAGTTTTCGTCAACTCGTCCTTATAATGATAACATATAGCAAAACCCTTAAAAATTGCAATTTTCTACTAGGCCTTATGATACCTTTACCATTGGGCAGTTTGGCAAGGACTACTGGACTAGTGCCAATTTCTAACCTTGCAATATTGGCGGTCTGGACCAGACAAACCAGTAATTGACATCACGAGCGTCGATCTACGCAATTGGGATACAATGGCATGCACCCACCTAGCCTCACCTGAGTCTCCTTATACGACACGCATAGTCGCCTTTTATGGCAAGCATGGGTCCCTGAAGAACAATTCTTACCCGGTGTACCCATCTATATATACCAATTGGATAGATATCGTAACATCGTTGCAAATAACGTATTCAAAACACCGAAGGCGGGGAGTAAAGATTTATTTGCACTTTTGTCCTGTCTATCAATTTTAAAAGCTCAAACGACATACGGTGGAGACGGAGCCTTTACAGAGACTCAATATAAAGTCTTGTTGGAGGAAATTACGTTCAAAATTCAATCGCTTGCACAAGCTACCTCCAAAATTACACGATTAATCCGCAGGAACTCGACGATAGCGTGTATAGCATAATATATTCGTATAGAAAAAAAATCACAACCCTCTATTTACATATAGACGTCTATATATACAGAGGGGTGTGAATTTTTTTTCGGCAAGGGTGGAAACTGGACTTTTACAGTCAATTAGCTCCCTTGAAACTGCACTTTTATAGTTACACCTGATAGTGTTTGTGAATGGAATCGCCTCCCTTTCAGACTCAAAAATGCTCCTATGGCATTTCTGCAAACCATTTCAGAAATGAACAAAATCCTGAAACGTTTTTGGAAAATTTGAATCACCTCAAGGCAGCACTCCAAGTATGACACACTCTAAAACCAAGCAAATTTAAATTTGCGACAAAACAAGTTACCTACTTTTGGCATAACTTCAGCAAAGATGGCATCCATGTCGATCCTTCAAAAATGTCGATTGAACCACACAGTGCCCACCCTCTAAAAATGTCTATGACGTGTGTCATTTGTTAGATTTGGCTTCGTATTGTCACAAATTTGTTGCAAACCCCTCTGGCATCGCCTTCCCTCCATAAAACCTTCTGAAAAAAAGACGCGCCTTTCGAATGGTCCAACAATTGCAAACAGGCATTCGAAAAGATAAAGCAAGCTCTTACAACAGCCCCCATCCTTGCATATCCCGACCAAAACAAACCCTTCGTCCTCACAACTGATACATCTCAAACTGCAATAGTGTATATTTAGGCCAATTTGATTCCAATGGCGTAACTTGTAATGATGCTGTTAATTCATTTCTTTTGACCATACAAGTATCTTCCTGTTCTGTGTTTTTAGGAACAAACAATGTTGATTGGTCACATTTCTTTTTCTCGTCAATTTCCAAGTAAGGGTATATGATGCTTAATGGTCATTTCCCCATCAGTCAACAAATGTTATGGCCTCTTGAAATGGAAGATTTGAAATGATTATTAATAAATAAGGGTTACAGGCATATTGGGGGCACGGGTGGCCCGATCGTCTAAGGCGCCGCGATTCGCTGTGCAGAGTTGCGTCCCTTGGGCACGCCAGAAACCTATGATTGTGGGTTCGAATCCCGGTTCGCCCCGATTATGTTTCTCGGTTTGTCAGCACCATACCCATGCTCGTAGGTTTCACCGAAGTGGTAAACGTCTGAGACCTGCATCACTTCGGGCTTTCCTCCCACATTAAGCAGACACGTCGTGATATCACTGGAATACTGTTAAAAGCGGCGTTAAACCCAACTCACTCACTCACTCACTTACAAGCATACTGTCTCTCATGGTAATGTCTCTCTGTCAAAGATTATGTCTTTGCTCACGAAATATTCTGTATTTATGAGGATTGCCATATTGTGGTCGAGACTTTTTATTGAGGCTGAGTTATTTTTTTTCATCCCGGATGGAGATGGAGATGGAGGCTAAGTCTTTTATGTACACAAAATTATGAGCTGTGTTTTTTTTTCTCTCATGTGTATCATGCCAATTACGGTCCATCTTTCACCAAAACTCGTCGTCGAGCCATGGGGCCGAATTATGCATCAAACGAGATGTATTGATGAAGAGGTGGGGTGAAATGGGGTTTCAAGATTATTCCACTTTTACGGCGACGGACGTGCGTGCGTGCGTATGTGTATGCGTGCGTGTGTGCGTGCGTGTGTGTGTTGATGGTTGTACAAGTCCGGACTAATGCCGATTTTAGAGTGCTAGCCCACTGAGATACCGCAGTTTAACATGACTACCCCACACAGACAGTCCTCCTTTTAGCCCCTCAGTGTCAGACAGGTTACAAGTACCATCTTTTAACGTTTTTGGGCATACGACGCTGCCGAGGATCGAACTCCCAACCTTCCGGGGAGACGCTCAACCACTAGACCACGGAGGCCGTCCGTATTGATGAAGACATGGCCTGTACAGCAAAACACCTGGTGAAAGTTGGTTGGTTGGTTTATTTGGTTGTTATACACCCATCTCAGCAATATTCCAGCTATATGACGGCGGTCTGTAAATAATCGAGTCTGGATCAGACAATCCAGTGATTGATATCATGTGCACCGATCCATGCAATTGGGATCGATGATATGCTTTTAAAAAGTCATCGAGCCTGACCACCCGATCCCGTTAGTCGCTTCTTACGACAAGCATTGTCGCCTTTTACGGCATGCATGGATTGCTGAAGACCTATTCTACCCCGGATATTCGCGGGTTGAATTTTGAGTGTGCCTCACCTTGATCACCACGTGTATGTTGCAGCAGGCAAGCTGTCGGATGACAATCAAAATCTATGTATGGTAAGTTGTTGTTTGTCATATCACTTTGTCATTTTCAGTTTCATTTTTAGATGGCATCATTTCAGTTGGTTGGTTGGTTTCTTGTTTTACGCCAGACTCAGCAATATTCCAGCTATATTCTAGGTCTGTAAATAATCGAGTCTGGACCAGACAATCCAGTGATTGATATCATGAGCATCGATCCACGCAATTGGGATCGATGACATGCATCAACCAAGTCAGCGAGCCTGACCACCGATCCCGTTAGTCGCCTTTTACGACAAGCATAGTCGCCTTTTACGACAAGCATAGTCACCTTTTACGGCATCATTTGAGACACTGATGAAGGTGACATTGTTTAAACTCGGTAAAAATAATTGGTAACCAAAGGGAAATTCAACATGTTCAACGTGGCCGCTAACTAAACTAAAAGTGTCGCAACGCAAAACTGATGGGAACCAGTCTCGGCTGAGCGTGGTTGAATTCGCTGTAGGCACTCGTTTTGAATATAATTTAACATCAGATTTGATGAGTTTCTGGACAATGAGTAGTCTGTCTTACAGACCCTGATACATTTATATCAACTACAGCCCATGCAAGTCTATAATGTTTGGCAAGTCTAGATTCGATTACTGCAGTATCTGAAAATGAAGAGAATCACTGGGCTCCCTTTTTATTAGATTTTTATTAAGATAACTGAACAACTGTTTTTTTCTGTACGATATGTTCATTTCAGAGACTATATGTTAGTCTAGACAATGAGTTACGTATATGATAAAAACTTCAACACCATCGGGTTAATACACTACCAGGGCCACATTGGAACAGCTGCCAGACATTGTCTTCATTAACCCCTTCATATTTCAAGTGGGCGTACGTAGCATGTTTTGGTGTTTCATGCTATTGTCATTGTTGACTTGTTGTCTGTTGACTGGATTACGCAGCACGCGGAGTGTCAGCTTGGCTCGCCGCCAGTGTTATCTGCTCATCTCTGACCTTATCTGTGACCCGTCTGCCTCCTGTCACGTCGTCAGCCCCCACATGACCTACACAGTCTTGTGATGGGCGAGATGGAGCTGTCTCCTTCACGCAGTATACATGGAATTGAACATACTTGGCCCATACTTCATCAAACGATAATAACTTTGACATGCCCTCCCAAACGGATATAGCTTTTTGCAAATGATGTGGCGAATGAGATTTCAGGTCCTTTCACGATTTTTTTGCACTTGAATATAGAATATAGCGACGTGCATGCGCGTGCGTGTCTGGTTGTACTAGTCCGGACTTATGCTGGCTCTTTAGCGCTATCCCACTGATATAACATTCCGCAACTTAGACACTGTTTACTGACTCCGTGCCGACCAGGTTTTATACCCTTAATGCTTTGCGCCAGGCAGGGAAAACCAACACTACAACTACATATACTACCTTTTAAAGGTTTTGGTATGATGGAGCCAGGGATCAAACTGCCAACCTTCGACTCTCTTGACTTACTCTCTATCCACTAGACAGCGGAGGCGGTCTTTCGAAACGGATGGGTGCATGTTGTCATATGGCCATTGTGGCGGCCATGTCTATAATCCGATCAGAATTATATGAGCATGTGTTAGTGACATCATAGCTGGGATAATTCATAGAACGTTTCAATCCCAAAGCATGCCAAACAGCGCATTTTGTGTGATTCGGGTTTCCACTTTAATACATGCTGCATATCAGATCTATTAATTGTGATACATGCAGGAATGGCTGGGTACTAGGGGCAAAAAGACATGTTATACGCCTTTTAAATCTCATTCGAAATCTCTGAGCCTTTTCAGCGACACCAATGCTGGAATTAATCAAAGTTTCAGCTCGATATGTATTGTAGACACAGAGAAGATGTCGATTAACGACGGACAACGTGACACGACATAAGCTGATGAGGTGAGCTAAATGTTCTAGAAATCAGTGTTAGAAAACAATATATGACATAGAAAATTATTGTCATGATTGTGTAATAATAATTGGGGTTGGTGTGGTGTGCGAGTGTGTGTGCGTGCGTGCGCGCGCGTGTGTTTTGGAGGGGAGGGGGGGAGATCCGGATTCACGACTATGGGTGACAACGGTGATGCCATACCTGCGTTACGTGGATATGATACTTTATTACTTGTCACACCATGGTCAAGAAGATTTCTTGTCCCGCCATGAGCATTAGTCGTCGTTATCCTTACAAAGTTTCATGTCTTCATAAATGGGACCAGACTATATAATAAATATAACGGTACATCAATGAAGCATATTTACCTCTTTCCAAACATATACTGGATATAATATATTGTAGTTGATCAAGATTTGTTTATTCTTTTACGTCGGAATTATTCCAGCTGCAAATGATTTCATTTTTCAATTTCATAAAGAAACAAACTCGGTATACTGTCTTTCGCCTCTCGTCTGAAGCGTCTGAAGCTGGAGCTCCTTGATGTGAGTATAGGGTCACTTAAAAGTTGCACTAGCCGTAACTTTTGCTTATTTATGCAATTAAAATGAAAAAAGAAGTGTTTTGATGAATGAAAAATACAACACATGTGAAATTTATAAAGGGCGATCTCACCCGAGATCAGAAGGAGATTACAGCTGACATCTATATATGCGTCGACATGTCGTCTACATGACAACACCTCTTTAATGACATGAAGATAGAAAAGTTGATTTATTTTAAAGGTAGCTGATGGTTTTTGCTTCATATAGATGATGTGATATCAGTGTCTGCAGTGGGCAAATGTATCAATTTTTAAAATAGAAACAAAACTTATGTTTGAATTTACTGTACAGTTATTGATCTATCAAATTTGAATGCCTGAAATTCAACATAAAACGTTTAGTGGGTTCCAATTGCAGACACAGAGTAAAGTCCCTTGACTTCCGGTATGACGTCATTTGACATCATGACCCAAGCAAAATGGCGAATGTAGAAGTGTTTACTATGTGGAAACGTGACATGTAACTGTGAATGCAGCTGACACTACGAGCCCCTAGCTACTGGCTATGAGCCAGAAAAGATTTTTAAGACATTAGAAAATATGTCCGAAGAAAGAGACATTTTGAGTCTCACAGATGACGAAGATGAATTCGAAGAAGAAGCCCATGTCCCGGATAAACACGGCACGCTAAGCAAATGGACAAACTATTTACATGGTTGGCAAGATAGATATATTGTGCTCAAAGATGGGACACTGAGTTACTACAAGTCAGAAACAGAAACAACATTTGGATGCCGGGGAGCTGTAAGCTTAGCGAAGGCCTGTGTAATTGTAAGTTTGCCAGTTTGCAAATCAACAAGTGATAGAACATTTGATGTGTCGACATTATTCACGTGACATGCAAGCAGATGCATGCACCGTGACACTAGTCACTGGGAAGGGCGTGTCACTGATTTGTTTTTCTCGTAATCACCCTTTGCAAGAAACAATTAGGAGACGTATATCAAAATCACACCATCTAAATTCTAATTGGCTGATTGGATTTGTTTATGAAATCAATTAGAATAAACAGTTCAATTTGTGACATGTCTATAGATACTAGGTAGGCCATGTCTCCAGTCTGTGTGAGCTGTGGTAAATAATGGTTTATTTTTGGTCAAGTATGTGATTAAGTAATTGGTCCCTGGTGTTAAATGCTGCAGGTTTGATGAAGCTATTCACTATTGTGATTTACATCATCAATGATGAAAGCAAGCATGTTAATGTTGGGTTTAATATTATGTATGTATACTCTGACCCCATGGTACCGCGGCATTCATCGTATCGCGGCATTTGTGATTTCCAGTAGTTCACGCGGGACACGCCTCTTAGTAGCTGTGTATTAATGCAAATCAGTAACCAGGAAGTGCACACTTCGTAAACAACTTCAATTTCCTCGGAATGTTCCGTCTGCTGTAAGTAAGGAGTTATTAATGCGTTGATACATATTTCTGGCATCTTTTGTAATATTGCCTTACCCCCATCTATCAATTGCCAACGGTATAACCCGCAGTTCCCCAAGTAAACTTTCTCTATCGACCTGAACTAGATCATCTGCATATTCATGACGACTACTAAGGTAACGGAAGTTATGTAGTCCACACATTCTGTGTCCAGAATCTATTGGGAGATCATAAGGGCCATAATGCCAAACTTAGAAATACGTTCTTCACTAGTAGCCAAAAGATAAATACATACTTTGGGCATACTAGGAGTGTTTTTTTATATATTTATTGTTAACATTTAACCTTTTTCCATTATGTCACAAATTATTGTCATCCAATTTTTTTTATAAACGATCTTAGAATATCATTTCTGATATTTTGTTTTTGATTTTTAAAATATTTTTCTCTTACTTTTCTGTAAACATGCATTGAATACCAATTATAGATAACACATTTAGAATTTTACTTGTGCTGTCTTTGCACTTGTCTGGACAAATCACTGATATCTGGCATGATCATACTAAGTGGTTGGTAGAATTATGTCCTCTTTTTGTCCAATTCGGACCTCCATACACAATTTGTCTCTGTACTGCGATACGATGGAGTTCTCTCCCTCGTCAAACTGAGCGCGAGGCCCGGCTTTTACTCGGAGCTACTAATGTAAATAATTAACTTTTATCGGTAAAATATGCATTGTTAGATCAAATAAATGACATCTGATATAGAGAACACGAATAATCATAACAGTTAGGGAGTGCATTTTGTTCTGTTCAGCGTACATGACAAGTACCGCGATACCCCAAGGTTGCAGGCTACTGTCTGTGTTTTTGTGACTTATTTTTTTGGTCACAATTTTCTTTCAGCATATGACATTATTTCACATGGGCAAAGCCAGTAATGCTTCCGAATTGTCCTTGCCAATGAATCTCTGCTGTCTGAGATGTAACACGATACAAGATACAATCAACAGGAAATTTGTATGCATGACAGGAAGAGGATTGTGAAATTGATAGTGATCTCTCATAATATACCCTTGAGCATGATCAATAGGAAATGGAATTAGTCATGATAGTGCAGTCAGGTTACGATGTGAATTTCTGATGATGTAAGTTTGCTCGATATACTGAACAGAATGTCAGTCTGACCTAAGCATGATTAGTATTACAGTGATAAGTACTGTGAGTGTGATTATGATCCTGTCATTTGTTTGTTTATTATCTTGTTATATCATGACTGGAGGTAGATCAATAAAGCCACAATCATCTTTTACACAACTGATAGTTGCTGAAATTATGTGCACAATAGACATGATAGTGCATTGGAAAGCTATGTTATAAGCTGTCCTCATGCGACTTAAGTACAGCAAAACACGGATATAAAAAAAACAAACACGGATAGAGCGACCAAACGGATACAATGAACTGTTAAAACATCCCCGATTTATCACCTATACATTATCATATAAAATTTACGTACATAACGAACTCTCTACAGCGAACTAACCGATACAGCGAACTGAGATCTGATCACCGACAAGCCCATCTACCACTAATTAGTGACGTGTATAGCGAACTGAGAAATCTCACTCAGCGTCAAGTGTCACTGACAACTGGCTGTACGCTATCAGACGTGAATCAACACAATTACTGGTGACGATTTAACCTAGTTAAACTTGCATTATGTTAATCTTAATTCTGATCAAATAATAACTTCAGATACAAGTTCATCCGACCATTGCATTAAAATGTTGGTACTTTTTAACTGAATCACCAGTAGATGTGGGAGGAAACATGTATAAACGTGTATGTGTATTGTATTTTGTTTTAGCTAAGATGGCAGAGCGAAAACGTATATAAGGAACAACGAATATAACGAATTGATTTCTCCGGTCTCTTGTAGTTTGTTATATCTATGTTCTACTGTAGTTTAGTGGTGATTTCAATTAATGACACGTTGAGGATCAAACTGTCATTGACAGCTTGAAGCAAAGCTAATGAGTAAACCTAATTTGCCAACACTTTACCATCAGATCACTTTTGCTATCACAAGTAATTGGTGCTTGTTTACCTTTATGTGAAGTTGCCATTTGTTTCCCTGCAAAACTCGAAACTTGAAAAATATTCTACAGATTACCTTAAAATTCAGTTAGATTAATTTGTTAGAAAGCTGACCCATATCCTAACTCACACTAGACCTAAGGAATGTAAAGGCGTGTTTGATTGGCAAGAGGGGCTTAACAAATGATCGTGGAGGGGTACTCAATCAGAAAGGGGTACCTAACCCGTGAAGATCCGGGGTAGAATAGGTCTTCAACAACCCATGCTTGCCGTAAAAGGCGACTATGCTTGTTGTAAAAGGCGACTAACAGGATTGGGTGGTCAGGCTCGCTGACTTGGTTGATGCAAGTCATCGATCCCAATTGCATGGATCGATGCTCATGATATCAATCACTGGATTGTCTGATCCAGACTCGATTATTTACAGACCACCGTCATATAGCTGGAATATTGCTGAGTGCGGTGTTAAACAACAACCAACCAAACAAACAAAACCCTAATGGTTGTAAACAGGTATTTTATCAGAAAGGGGATCCAAGGGCTAAGGATAAAGTTTGGGGTATCCTAAACTAACAGTAACTTAACTTACCCCTAGGATTGATGAGGTATGAGATTAGTAAAGCAAGATACACAGCAGGCAACCTGAGACTGTTAGCGTTATACGCTTTGCCAGGTTAACTGGCCTGGGACGGGTAACTTGGGCACCCGGGTCGGGTGGGTACTGAGTAGGACCCGGGTACCCACAGGACTACCCGGACCCGTGGTTAGTCACGTGATATATTGTTTAATGACCAAAATTATCTAGAACTCTATGGTTACGCTAGTGTTTTTCATATGGTTAAATAAAGATATAGCTTAATTCAACTTCAGTGTATGAATGACCAGATTGTTTAATACATGTATCTTAATACGTTTTGCCAGGGCTATGCTAAAAATGTTCCCATTCGGACATTTTGAGACATCTCCTGAGACCTACAGTGGGTACCCGGGTAGGGTCGGGTAATAGTTGGTTGGGTACCAGGATGTAAATTTGGACTCGTCCCAGCCCAAGTTATGACCGCCCCTACTAAAACTGAATATTGACATATTTTCTTGGGCATAATACCTTGATTACCATAATCATTATAATCATGATGATTTACAGATTATGTTTTTAAGGTAGACACAGCAGTGCCGAATAGGTATTTAACCAGGGTAACTGCCTAGTACTATTATTGAAAACATTTTTAGTTTCATGGATATTTGAACTATTTCTGTGCTCAACCACTCTATATCTGACAACAAAATTAACTTGTATATGCATGGGTTTTACCTTGAATTACATCACTCTGGTTCAGAGGACACCCAATAATTAATTTCAAGGGTCCTGTAATGTAATGGTGTAGTGTTCTGTGCTGTAAGATTTCATTAATACTTCAATGACAGGACCTTTATATTTTTTGTCAAGAATTTGGTCAATGAATATTATTGTGTGCCAAATGGGATGAAATATTTTCTCTTCTACACATTTGTACGTTGTGTAAAACCCTGTGTAGAGTTTTAAGAAGCTGGTTCATTATTGATATTTCATGGTGCTCTGAGGCATATGTCAACAATTGCCCTGATCATAGATATGCAAACTTGCAGTCATTATCATTATTGTATGATTATTATTTAAAAAAATGAGTCATGATCCAGTAGGTACTTCTACTTTCTATTGACTCAGAGTAAACATATCATGATATTGCTTGTCTAGACATGCAACATGTTCAAGGCATAGCTTGTTATCTACCTGTATTAGTTGACGGCCCCCAAGATAAGTGTGATTATAACCAAAACATACGAGGGGTGTTCATTAAAGATTTCCCCTGACCCACTTCCGATGGACCTAGTGGAATGAAACTTGGCATAGGTATTAGTCTTTCTCCACATAGGAACCACCAAAAGTTACACACTTCTCCCATCGTTTTATGCAACTATGGGGACCTCGCTTGTAAAAGCCCTCATTTTCGGCTCAAACCAGGACTTGACTTCAGAAATCAGTGTTTCATCATCTGTGAAACGTTTTCCCTTCAAAAATGACTTCGTGGTTGGAAAGAGGTGGAAGTCAGATGGTGCAAGGTCAGGAGAGTAAGGAAGATGTGGAAGGATTTCATAGCCACAGGACCGCGCTTCTGTCTGGGCAACATGAGAGTTGTGTACTGGAGCATTGTCTTGCAGGAGATGGTCACCCTTGGTCAGCATGCCACGCCTCTTAAGCTTGATATGTCATTTTTGTCAAGGTAAAACCCTGCTTTATTATACCATGTAT